ACCATTAGTATAAAAAGTTTCATTGATAGTTGATAGCAAAAAAAACAACAAGACCCAAGTAAGTACTATATTTCTTGTTTTTCATGTGTATTCTTTACTTAGTATTATAAAAGTAACTAAAATGTAAAAATTAAAAACTTGTTAGGTTAGATAAGGTTGTAATAGGTAACATAATTAATAATAATAACAGTTCTTCATGAGATATGCACTTGAGTTGTTTGTGCATTACATAATTTGATAAGGTTAAGTGAGCTGCATGTTCAACGAGTAATTTACAACTTGTGTGGTGGGATAAGTAGTTAGACATGGGTTAAAGGAAAACAAAACAATAAAATTAAGTATAAAAAGATGTATACTATTATGAGCTTTTAGCTATTTAGGAGAAACAGTTGTGGTTTCCTTTTACCATTTGCAATCAATCTATACAGAAAAATGGGTAATTTAGATTTATTTATTTTATGGTAGTTATAAGGTCAATCAAATAGACTGATCCTGCATAGAGTTAGGGTAGAGAAAATAACAGATAAACTATGAAGTTTGATACTTTTTAGGAAGTGTTAGAGATTATGCACACTTCAAATTTGAAAATTTTCAGATGAAAAAATGTATTTGTAATCTTAATATGCAAATCACTCTGAACTTGAAGCAGTCAACACTCTGGTCCCATATATTTGTGGACAGATTTTTAGTAAAAATATTTAATTTAAATTTTTGATTTTTTGTCAACAAAAGATTTGCAATATTTACTAAATGCTTGAAAAATTTCATGAAGGTACACAGTGTTAAAAGTTATAGCATGGAAACTCTGATGATCAATTTGGGGTCAAAAGGTCAGTGTAATCCACTGAGCCTTTAGCGAAAGGCTTAAAACAATTCAAAACTATAAAACTGATAAATACCTGTTACATAATAAACTATCATGAAATCAAGTCTAATGCATCATTAGTGGAAATTAACATTTAATGAGAAAGAACCAACATCCCAGTTGATGGAATTTACCTTATTAATTAGTTTTCAAGTTTCAAGTAATGTATTTTTCAAGCTAATTTGAAGATTCTAGTATCTATATGCTTCCAACTGACCAATCAATATTATGTATGTTATCAGTTGCATATTCTACTTGAGCTTTCTACTGGTCCTTATGTCAAAGCTCTCCTGTGTTCACTTATCCAGTTAGTAAGGTTGTGTCCTTTGTCATCCATTTATACACCAGAACAGTCTGAATGTAGTAGCTGGGATACAACTCTGAATCTTTTGTCAGGAATAATTTGAATTTTAACATGTAAGCAAGCTGCAAAGAGTTACATGGGGATTGAAAGCTACTTTTATGATCTTGATGCATTCGATCATTTCCAGTATCCCACTTATGTATGATGTATTTGTTGTGCATGAAGGTTTGCTTCTGACTTTGTTTTCATTGTGTTTAGCTGTAATTTTGTTGGACATTAATTTTGACTGAGAGCTGATATAATATTGCTTCTTGGTTTTCTGAGCAAAGTTATACCTGAGCAGATTGAAAAACTTATACTAGTGTGTATTAAGCCTTTCTTAACTGATAGCAAATGATGGGAGATAAACGTTAAGTATTGATTTGTATAGCAGGTGCTTAATGTTCCATCAGCATTATGTATGATCATGACATCTAGAAGGTAAGTTGAATGTTTTTTCAGTTTTACACTTAAAATGTATAGTTGACATTTGGTTACTTAGATGGCAAAGGAATTTGTCTCTCTTTAGTATTGACAATAGTAAAGACATTATCTGCATATCTTTTTTTTTTTCAAACATGGGATTGGTACAGGTAGTTAGATAAGAGCATTATTTTCAAATTCTTCTTTGAAAATTTTGTCTACAATAGGTGAAACACGTGACCTCATAGTGGTACCAAAGGTTAGTTGGTAGAATGAGTTTTTAAACAAAATATATAGTATTTAAAAATATAGTACTAAGCCCTAACAAATATTATTCACTGATAGCTGTGTTTTTTGTCTTAACCCTGTGGCTACTGGTCCTTTTATGGTAGGGACCTAACATGCTATTATATTTTGTTCCAAAAACAAAACTAGTGGATGAAATCATTTAAAATTTTATGTACAATCATCAACGTACAATACAATGAAATATTTAAAAGTAAGAAATGGAAATATGTACTTACCTTTGTGGATAGTCTTAAAATATTTTCTTTGGTTCATATATATAATGTCATATCTTTACTTTTTCACAAGTAGTTTATTATTCTATTTTCCTTTCCTGTTATTTACCATTAATTATTTATGTCCACACACATCAATGGGTACCCGAAGGGGATAGAACAGTATGAATGGCAGATAATCTTTAGCTTCTTACCAAATTGATTTGTACACACTTTGTGTTCTAAGGTTATATTAGAATATAGTTAGAAAATTATTAAACCTTTAAAATATGAATTTTAAACCACAAATAATGCATAATTAACTAAAATATAAAAGTAAAGCCTAAATACAATTTAACTATCTCACTAACTATAACATACTTTGGTAAGAAACAACCGAAGTACTATTGTGAACAAAGCAACCTACAATAGTACAAGCATTTGAATCTACCCAATCATGACAAAATAACCATTGTTGTATTATAGTATAAAATGAACTCTTTCTGATGATTATAAACATGTATATGAGATACATGTACTTACTACACAAAGCTCAGGGCTAAGTATAGAAGGTGGGCATGACAACAAAATGAGAAGTTTCTGTTATTACTTTTGATGTTTCTTTTGAAATAAAGGAATAAAAACTAAGATAATATAAAACTTTGAACTATAATGTACTTGATAATAATAATTTCATTAAAATAAATTCATAGTAAAGTGGTTAAATTAAATTTTGAATGTAACTCGGTAACACATTGTGACATGTGCAGAAAGGAATTTAAAGTGTGCCTGGGTTCATAGGGTTAATTTGACATTATTGTGCAACATGATTTAATGATAGCTATCACATCACCTACAGAAACAAATATAAATCATCAATGTGTCTCCTGACTCTCTTAGGAACTCGGGGATTCCTCCTTACTCTAATAGGAAACTAAGGATTCCTCCAGAGGAAAAATGGTTGAAACAAATTCTTTTGAATTACTTAAATAAATAGTGTTCATTAATGCCAACCAAAGAATAAATAAACTTTGAAAGTTGGTATGTGGCTGAATATATTAGTTTAAGAGGAATATGTGGTTTATGTAATTTAGGTAGGCCATATAATCCAGCTCATGCACTAGACATAGGATAAACTGTTTGTACATTTACTGATCTGTCTTCCCAGTAGATTTTTTAGCTATTGTAGCAGCCTGATTGCTTTTCATTGCAGTGCCCTGGTTAGTTCTTTTGGTTTCTACATCTGGTAGTAGGTCTTGAATTTTTCTGGTGATAAATGTCTCTCAAGATATGCCATTATTCAACCCTCATCTACAGGTGCAATGGATGACAGTATTATCTTTTTTTAGTTATTTAGCATTGTTTGTTTTTTTATAGAGACATTGGACTTTGGAGATTTGCATTTGTTGAGATTACTTGCTATTCTGCTACAGACTAGTGGATTTTTTCTATCATTGTTCATGAATAACTGAGAGATGTTTCTAAGGATGATAAAAGTTCCACAGTTGGTATTCTTGTAGACTTAGGTTCAAAGTTTAAATCTTTCTCCAGGACCAGTCTCCTCCTCCTCCTCTTTTATTTTTCAGTTAAATTCCATCTTACACAATGTTGGCACTCATTCATTGAATGTTAATTCTCACAATTGATGTATTAAATTTAATTTCAAGATGATTTATTACCTAAACTGTTTTTTCACTATATATAGTTTTTGAACTTTCTGTATATTAATCTTCTACTGTTGTGTATAGGTAACAACTATGTTAACCTTCTATTGTTATGTACAGGTAACTGTACATTACAGTAGAAGGTTAATATAGTTGTTACCTGTACGACACAGTAGAAAATTAATATAGTTGCTACATAACAGTAGTAGGTTAATATAGTTTTTACCTGTACATTAAAGTAGAAGGTTAATATAGTTGTTACCTATATGTTACAGTAGAAGGTTAATATAGTTGTTACTTGTACGTTACAGTAGAAGGTTAATATAGTTGTTACCTGTACATAACAGTAGAAGGTTAATATAGTTAAGGTTAATATAGTTGGTACCTGTACATAACTGTAGTAGGTTAATATAGTTGTTACCGTATTGTAACGTACAGGTAACAACTATATTAACCTTCTACTGTTATGTACAGGTAATAACTATATTAACCTTCTACTGTAACGTACAGGTAACAACTATATTAACCTTCTACTGTAACGTATAGGTAACAACTATATTAACCTTCTACTGTAACGTACAGGTAACAACTATATAAACCTTCTATTATTATGTACAGGTAAAAACTATATTAACCTTCTACTGTTATGTACAGGGAGCAACTATATTAATCTTCTACTGTATCGTACAGGTAACAACTATATTAACCTACTACAGTTATGTACAGGTAAAAAAAATTGTCAAAAAAATTATTTTACCTTGTTTTTAATTTTGTTTTAGGTCTAACACTTCTCTTATATATTAAATTGTCAGTCTTAACTGCTAGTTTCTTTAATCCACCAATTGCAATGTTAGACATTTTCATCATACTTCTCATGTTAATGTTGGGTAGAACAATACTTTCTTTATGATTTGAACCATGCATTCAGTAATAGCTGTTGTCATGAGTTGCCCATGATGATGATAAAATGTACAGTCACCAAAAAATTGGTCAATAAAGAAAATAGACTTGCATTGTTGGTGTCAGTATGAATAATTATTATAGAATTAGTAATTATTACTCACTAATCTTCACAGATAGGTACATATCCTATAGCCTTTTTGATGGAAAACTAGATTATAGATTATTGAATTACCTTCGACATTAATTTGAGATTATGAAAAATGCTGGAAATACAGGCTAGAAAGTATTTTTAAAATGTTATATTCCAGTGTACGATCTTGAAACTACTTTTCTGATAAGTAAATCATCATCTTCATAAGTTCTGTTGTTGCTATTTATGTAGTGCATTGTAAATTAGTTTTTATTTTTAGTTTAGAAAATAAAGGAGTTTTGTTTAGTATTGTTAGATTTGAATCATATATCAAGAAAGTTCTGTATGAAACTTGTAGAGATAATGTTTTTTTTTCAGTCAGTCATAGGAAGTCGCTGGTGGTCTGACCTATTCTGTTTTCTCTTTGTTCCTTTCACACTTTTTACACTTAGGTATGTATGTGTCAAGCAAATATGTATTTGATACATATGAAAATTGTAATGTAAATACCACCATGAAAAGTATGTGGATATTTTGAATAAATCAGTAAAACTTAGTTATCTATTTTGAAACTAAAGTAATGATTTAACATACAGTGTGGAATAGAGATTATGCTGTGATGTACAAAATCTAACAAATGGCTGTTGTCATAAAACTTTGTGCTCTGTCCTGCAGGTCAGTGCAATTTTTTTAACTTCTTTTTAGAAAACAGTAGATTGTATAACAACAGAATTTGTTATCAGTCACAACAGTTTTATCATGAGTTTGTTAGAATACTTTAAATATTACTTTTTTTCCAGGTATCTTCCCGTGATGACAAAGCACACTGAAGAAGATGTTGAAGAATTCACTAAACGAGTGCAAGTAAGCATGGCTCAAGAACTGGGAATAGTTGCTACAAATTTTACCTGTGCTGATAAAGTAGAACACGCTAAGAGAATTCTTAATGTTTCTCCATATATTCCACCAGCTCATCAGAATGGTAATTCTTTTTCTGTTGTAGTTCATAATTTTTCACATCACGTTTGAATAATGCTAGAGTTGGCTTCTATCTAGTTACTCTGTAATCATGTGATCCTAACCAAGTGAGAATATTTATTCTTTAATTCATTCTTTAAGATGAGTGTATTTTGTTTCACTGATCACCAGAGAAGATAGCATAACTGTTAATGGTTTGATTTTTTATTTGTACAGTTTAATAGACTGAAGAAAAATGACTCATTTCTAGGTAAAACACATGATTAAGTCCACTTATTGGCTTCTACTGACTTAAAAGGGAAATATGTGAGAAATAAATTCATTTCAGACATTGCGAGCTGGTATTATGTGAAATCAGTAGAAATATATATTTTCGTCAAAAATTGTTTCAATTTGTCTATTGATATACAGTTAAACTGTTTTTAATGCTTTAAACTGTATTCAAATGCATTGATATATATAAATTTTTTTATTAATAATTTATGTACTAGTCATATTCGCTTTTAATTTCTCTTAAAGAAAGGGTTTGGTATGGCCTAGTGGTGAGTGTACCTGGATTGTGAATATGAGAGCTCATTGTTTGCATCCCATTGCTGCAAAAAGCACACTTCTCACTTTTGGGCTGTGGGTGCATTATAAGAGTGATGATCGAATCCAACTATTTGGTCAGACAAGAATAGCCTAAGAATGGCAGTGGGTTCTGTTGATTAACTGTCTTTCCTCTGATTTATCGGTTCAAAAATTAAGATCAGCTGTATGCAGATTGCACTTTTATAGCTTTTTGCAAAAATTCTAAAACTAAAATAACAAACAAATTCTTAAGAAAATTAGTTAATTTTTTTTTTTGTGTGTGCGGCTTTGCAGCACAACCAAGAATACCATCAACCTCTGCAATTCCAAATATTACAGACTTGGCCAGTCAAGTCAAAGAAGTTTTACCGCATGTGCCACTTGAAGTAATTAAAAAGGATCTGGGTAAGATGTGATTGCTTTTCTATGAGATTGGAATATCTATAAAATGATACAAAATTATAGTTTTTCTCAACCACCTTACATTGATCGAAAAATGTGTTCCACACATATTTTTAATTAATGGTAAATGAAGTATTCTAAAACTTTCATTTTTTTTGTGAAACAAATACATCAGAGTTATTAAGCAGTATAGATGATGAAGCTAACTGAACAGTTTTTTTATAAATTAGTTTTAAAAAGTAACTTTTTAAAAATATAATTTATTACTGCATCAGACTAACATAATCAAAGTGTACAATGTTTTGCAGAAAGATACTTTATTTATAAGTGGTCAGTCTTTTTTGACTTTTTGTGTTCATACTGAAAGACTTTAAAAATTTTTGTATAAATAAAATGTTTTTAGAAATTTCAACGTACTTTACAAGCAACACATATAGGAGTAGATCATATTTAAAAGGTTATCCTCTTCAACTCTGTCTGTAGTTAACTAATAAAGTGATAAAACACTTTAAATAGAATGTTTTTTTATAACCCATGAATTACAAATTGTCCCTAAAGAGGTGTTTAAATTTAGTTCAGATGAACTTCCCTAGATGGCAAAGAACTTATAACTGCATGATGTTGCTTGCTTGTTTGTCTGTTTCAGTGCATAGCTACACAATAGCCTATCTGAGCTTTGTCTGCCATAGAGAATTGAACCCTGTCACTTGATGTTGCTCAATGATAAGGAATGATGTACTTGCACAACAATAAACAGAACATTTCACTTCCCTTTGTTAGATTTGCAACTCTTCATCCAGTAATGCTGAAATAATTATTTTTTTTGTAGATTATGTTTTGGTTAAAAAATATTTTTGCATTCGATATTACACATATGTAAATATTGGTTGAATTGTTTTAGGGAAGTTCATGTGAAATAAACTTCGATACTTTTCTCTGTTTATATTCAAATCATTAAAGAAAGCTTTATTTTTCTTTGCATATAGATTATTTTTATTTTTTTTCACCCATATCTTGAAAAGAAAGAAACTGTGTTAGTGTAATGGAGATTCTGAAAGATATTATTTGTTGTAAGCAGAAGTCACAGATGTGTGTGTGTCTATATATATAAACACATATTATAATGTTTGTCCTTCAACTCAAAACAGTCTTGTCCCTGAATATTTGACTTATAGGAATCTCTGTATGATTTAAGATAAAATACCATTTTGTGAGTATTACAGTAATAATTTAGCTTCTATTTGATTTTTTTTTATATTACTTACTAATCATGAGAAAATATTTTTATATGTATTACTGTTATGGCTTTGTTGTTATTGGATGGTTTAATTATTTTTCATGATCTTTTTATTTATTATATCACTTATTTTATACTTATGTTATTTTTACTTGTAGTTGGTTTTAAATATGTTTCGAGGTTTGATATTTTGTTGAAATCTGGTAAGCTGTTTTATTTTTTTTTACTGAAGAGAGTAATCTTGAGGTTATGAGACTGGTGTATAAAATACAATAATTATATACAGTAAACCCTCCTAGAACATGGGTTCATCCAACACGAATTCGCTTATACACGCAAAAATATAAGCAACTAATTATCTGCCGAACACAGAAAATTCGATTTTCACCCAACATGCAAACATATGAGCACTCTAAATTGTTATAACTCTCTCAACAAAGGCTCTGTCAATTTGACTGACCACTTCTCCTTTTTATGCTCATTTAAAGTCTTTATAGATTTAATACTTCTAACTTTCACGAAATTTGGCAGTCTTTCAGTTAACATTACAAGTCTTTCACATACAAAAAATCATATTTTTAGTGAAGTATTTTTAATAAACTAAAACAAAGATTTGTCCGTGAATGTATTGCGTATTTGTTTTGAGTAGTTTGTGTGCAAAGTAATATTCATGTTAAGATTAAAAATACTTCATTTCAAAAAATCTCATTTCCTTTGTGTAATCTCTAAAACTTTCTAAATACATTTCTAATGTTTTTTTCAGTAAAACTTTATATTTTATCTGTTATTTTTCTCTATCTCTATATGGGATCAATTATTTGACCGACCTCTTAACCACCAAAAGAAAAACAATTGCAATAAATCTAAATTACCTTTTTTTCTTTCTAGAATGACTTCAAATTGTTACATGAAACTACATTTGTTTGTTCCAAGTATCTTTAAGCTCGTAACAGAATACATCTATTTATAATTACATTTTATAATTAAATAATGCACTAAAGAACATAGACTAATAACATGCAAAAAGTAGACAATTTCTCCTCT